TCTCTCTTTTTATCTACTCACAGCACACCAGCACACACACACACGACACACACACACACACACACAGCACACACACACACACACACACACACACACACACACACACACCACACGGAGCACACACACAACACACAGCACACACACTGTTCCTCGATACTCCACCCTTGGATTACTTGAATACTACTTTGCCATTCCGGTTTAAGAATTCGAAGCCTAGTAAGGGAATAGTACATAGTAGTTAAAATATTAAGTAAAGTAACATCACACATTCACCACACACACACACACACACACACACACACACACACACACACACACACACACACACACACACACACACACACACACACACACGACACACACACCACACACACACACACACACAGAAAGTCCTATCCCCTGTGTGCCTTGGCATTCAGGTGATTGGTTGCACTCTTTGCTGTTGTTTTTGTTTCTACGCATCTGAACAACATCAAAAGTGAAGCCTCCCTCTGTCTGTTCTCTCCATCTCCAGCTCGCTCCAAATGCGAGACATGAACATGCTTTTCTAATTCTCCAACAAAGGCCTGTCAGATCTCGTCTGCCTCTCACTCACTTTCTTTTCCCTCTCCCTGTTTTCTGTGCAGTATGCCGCCTGGCTGGTGGTGTGGATGACCTGGAATGTTTTCATCATCTGTTTCTACCTGGAGGTTGGAGATCTGTCTAGAGTAAGAACTTTTCCTTGGATTATTTTGTCTGCATGCTTGTCAATTATTCTACAAACAGCAAAGATATAACAAAGACAGGCAGTATTACACCTTCATTTTAAGTGTCTTGTATTTAAAACAGAAGCAATAATAAGACTAGCAGTATTCTATATACATTTCTTATATATCAAGTTTTTTAAAGGTCCCATGTCTTGGCCATTTCTACTGATCATAATTCCATTGTTGAGGTATATTAAAATAGATTTATACTGTGCAATTTCCCAAACTCACATTGGTTTCTCATACAGCATCTCTGTATAGTATGTGTATTCACTCTCTGTCCTAAACGGCTTGTTGGAGCTCCTGCCCCCCCCTCCCCCCGCCCTGTGAGCCCACTGTGCTCTGATTGGTCAGCTTGCCCACTCTGTTCTGATGAGTCTACCACTATGGTCTATCACCGTTACAGCGGGAAATCAGTGATTATGTGTTACAATGGCGTTTGTTAGCAACCAGAGAATGACACCAGTAAGGACAAACAGATGAGAATGCTGCTTGGGGTCTGGGTGTTGGCGGGGGACGTTGCGCGGCTCGCTGCTGCGAGGAGCGGACAGTGTGAGCTGGGTTCATTTCCTGCTTGCTGCAGCACCTCCCCCCCACACACACACACCCCCCCATAGCACGTCACTATACCCAGGAAGAGAACAATGGAAAAAGAGAAATCTCCAGCAAGGAGTTCTGGGGCAGCATAGACAGGTCTTTTCTGTGTTAGAGTTTTACTCGCTACAGGGTGTACTTTGAGGGTTTGTCACTCTGCAGACCGTTTACATATAAATAACCGGGTAATAACCGGAAAAGCATGACATGGGACCTTTAAACTTATCTCATAAAATACCAATATCAGTAATGAATATATTCGACCCACAAGGGTTGCCTGTGTTGCCAAAGTAATTCACATGAACAAAAGAGCACAATATTATTCCAAAAACAAACAAAAAAACATGAATAATCTACAACTGTGCCCTGGGTGACGTGATCTTTTATCACTATGAACACAGTCACTGTTATTTATTTTGTATTGCTTCCTAACACACCGTCCTGCTGTCATTAATACTAACTATCGTGCCGAATGTGTAAAAGATGTGTCACTATTGACCTCTGTTTGATTAACTTTTCTTTTTAAATTTTTCTTACTAATTTTGTGACCCTTGTTTCTTAAGATCCTCTTGTTCAGCAGGCACTAATAGGTTTTGGTTTGGACAAGGAAGAGAAGTTTTGAGACTAATAACTAAAATGTTCTTTTGTTACACTAAGCCTTAAATGTGCGTCTGCCTTAGCTACATCACCATATCAATAAGACATTGCATCTGTTAAACTTGTCCCATGCATGATGCAGAAGTCAAGAAGAGCATGGGAATGCACTTGAGACTGCTTAGTAACTCGCTAGAAGCAACAAGAAGAATAGCTTTTGCTGAGAGCAAATAAACAAGCTCCAACCACTGAGTCCCCTGACAGAACCGTGAGGGATAAGAAAGTTGTGCCTTCGCTCATTGACCCGCTGTCATACACAGATCACTGCTCTCTCCTCTGTTGTGTTTCTGTGATGCTCGATACAAGCTAAGTAAAAGAGGTGCCACTCTTTAGCATCACTCTACTGTCGCCGGTGGAACGTGTGTATTCACAAACACACTTGAATGATTCACCTTCTTTGACCGCACGCCCAGAAATGGCTGAATTGGCTTTCCACCTGTCTTCCCCTGACAGAAGGGGTCACATAATTTCACTGTAATTTGAGTGTTAGTTCAGCTGCCGTGATCATAGGGGCAAGACCCTGTCAGTGAACACTTCCTGCTTACTGACAGTGCCACTTAAGGAGGGATGGACTTGTTCACACCTTTTAAACATCTCGCTATAATGTTCAGGTCACATTAAGGGGCTTTAATGGTAAGATTGTCACTGAGTCGTGATAATGAAAGCATGTCAGTTCTTTGCATTGCCAACTGATAAAGATACGACACACAAGCTGAGGCCATTCAAGTCTTCTCACTGTGCAGTAAAAATGTGTCGAATTTGAATACAGATTATCAACTCGCACAATTAATTAAAGCCAATCAGCGCTTCCATAAACAGAGAAAATCAGTTGATGGGACTGCTGATTACGGCTGATTACACTCTCTGGTGTGGTAATAGAAAAAAGTAGTTTTCCCATCATAATTTGTTTAAAATTACTCTTTTTTTTAACAGTTATGTAACACGTCTATTACCAGTTTAGTAAATCACACCAAAGAGCAGTTTTAAAACCACATATCTGTGCGAATCCATCTTAAAAGCAGTTTGTTGAACATTATTACTGTGAGCAGGGGGGCCTATTGTGCAAATGTTCAGATTTCATATTTGTTTTTTGTGCCTCTACTTTGACATGTTTACATGCTTAAATGTTCAAAAAGTGCTTTATTTTTCTCATGCTGCCTGTGTTGCAGCACATAGCTCTGTTGTTGTTGGTCAACCGCTTAGTGATGTCCCGCCCCTTAGCCTCATGAAGCCATCATGATCAATTTGTTGGAGCCCTAGTAGGGCTGCTCGATTATGGCAAAAATCATAATCTCGATTATTTGGGTCAATAATTGATATCACGATTATTAAAAACGATTATCCATTTACTTTGGAAAGATCTATTTATTGGAGAGAGAAAAATGTGAACAGTATGTTTGTAACAGTTGATTACCCTGGACTTTAAGTATAACTCAAAAAAAAAAAAACTAATAATAAAAAAAAAGATTAATAATAATACAAAAATATTCGTTATATTTCGATTACGTTGTTTTCGTAATCGTTGCAAGCCATAATCGTAATTGCGATTAAAATAAGATTAATTGAGCAGCCCCAAGCGCTAGCCAATAGAAGAGTTACATAGTGATGCAAAGTCCAATGGAGGTGTTTCAGGCAGGGGGAGTGTGTGGGGATACTCTCTCTGGGGGTAACTTTAGGATTTTAGCCTTTGCAGACCATTCACATGCACACAAATCGATAGAAACACACTACAAGAAAGAAAACCGCCAAAAAGCACAATTGTCTTGCATTGTTTTGCAAGTTTTCCCATTCACTCACTGTTGGATATACTCGTCATGTGTCTGTCTGCTCTTCCCACACAAGAACTTTGAACCTTGTTAACTTGTGTTGCCATCCAAGCTAGGCTATCATTTTACAGTTCTCTAACCCCCCTCCACGTTCTTGCCTGTTACCTGCAGCTTCATTGACTGATCTTCGATTTTAATGATATTTACACTGCTCACTGTCCCGAGGCCTAGTTTAACAGTAACGATCACCACACTACGGCTGGGAGGAAAGCAAGCTTTATTTTTATCAAACTGAAAGTACAAGCATGTCTGCCATGTTGGAAGGCCATGTTGAAAACATCTTGAAAAGCTGCATAATAACAGTTCAAAGGTTAATTGAACGGAATACAATTAATTATGTTGCCATATTTATCATTTACAATCTGTTATGGATTTTAATGATTCGAATATTACTCTTGATTTTATTAGAAATAAGCCCTTCAGACCAAAATCATCACATCTGCTTTCTATCGAGGGTGAAGCAGCAAGCTAATTAGGAAAACCTTTTGCAATTAGCAGCTGACCAATCAGAGAGCAGCACACTCAAACCAGGGCGCTGAACAGCTTGTTTTTACGACCAGAACAGTTTGCGTTCGCCCCGCTCAAGGGCACATCAACCTTGACCCAGTTGCAGAGTGAGAGGGGAGCCACAAATGGGCGATTCCCCCCCCTCACCCAGATTCACCAGCTGTTGTATAAAATACGGATGACCAACCGTACAAGGGGTTTACCGACCGGAGGGCTATTAACACCGGACCACATGTTCAACAAACAGATATATTTGTGATTGTTGCACCTCGGCTCAGAACAAAGAAACTCCTCAAAACGAGGATGAACCCAGATTTATACTCCCTTGGGACGACTGCATAATGTCAAACACATAAGCTTTTAAAATAAAGAGCCTCATCTTGTTATTTCAGTGCAACAACAACCAAATATATTCAATACCAACCTTGGTTTCACAATAAAAACAAGAAATGAATTAAATGTATTCAAACGGGAGTTGGAGAAACAAGCTAGAGTGAGCCAGATATTTTGAAGTATCCAGCCAGTATCATAGCAATTGATTTATTGAAACCTGTTGGGATGTTAAGATCATTTATAACAAAAATGCTGATAATAAAAATACAGTTTAGAAGTATTGTTGTAGAAAATGTAATGAGCAAATGCTAACCTAATAAGAATTGTATATCATTAAAGTTGTTGTAAGGACAGTGGTACTGTAAGAACAACGGTCCCTTTAAAAATGTGACAGCAGGCTATCATTCTTACCTTTATATAAGCTGACGATCCAACATTTTAGCTACTTGTCTCAATATCAACCAAAACGGTAAACAATATTTTAGTAAATGCTCAACCACCCAACAGACAACTTCTGTAACTTAACACATCTGAGATGTGACAGGCCTCCCAACTTTTAGAAAGCACAATAAAAAGTAAACGAGCAAATATGGAAAAGAAGGAAAACCTACATTTCCTGCTCTCTAAAACTCATCATTAATTGATTTACATCCAAATCAGGTCCCAAAATTACCATTACACATTTAGCTTTAGAGTGAGCCAATTAGTTTGAAAGTTAAAATCTATGACAGCCAAGCAGAAATACTGACTATACGTTAGGCTTGATATAAAAAACACATACATTGGGTATAAATCAGAGAGCGAGACGAGTATATACCATACTTTCATGTATCCTACTCAGCAGGGATCAAAATAACTCTTCGGTGTTTGATAAGGGTAATGATGATGCGCTGTGTGCTTCAAATATACAGCGATAGAAATGAAAATCTCTTAATCTCCCTCTCTATTGCTTTCAGATGCCTCTTCCCGCTCTCTCGGTCTAACTCTCCCCCTCCTCCTGTGCCTCGCTCTCCATGTAATTCATCCCTCCTCTCCCTCTGCCTGCCCTATAATCAAGTCTTTTTCATGTTGTTTTGCAAAGTGCCATGTAAATCCGTCCCGCGCTCCTCTTCCGCCTCGCTCGCCTTCACCTTCTCGCCTCCTTTTCATTCACTCTCTTCCGCCATATTTCCAATGTCAGGACTTGAGGAAATGGGTCGCCGTCTAGAAGAGGCTGTTATTTATGGCCTGCAGCGGCTCACAGTGCGGGGCTTTATGTATCGGCCAGTACCGAGTGCCAATTTAATACATTACTTTATACACTCAGGCCATTACTTTCGGGGTCGCAGGACAAACGTGGTTACGACAGACTCCATTTTTCTTCATTACGGAGAATTGACATCATTCTGTGCATGAAAGAGGCAGAGAATCAGTCGCAGCTTTGATTTATGCCATGTTATCAGTGACTCTTAGATTTGTCTGCTGTACCTTTGATATCATTTTCCTTATCCAACACTCTCGCATATCCGTGAAGGGAACTGATATCAAGATTATGCATCCTCAGTGACAGCAGTGTGCATTTGACTCCCAGTGAGGAGGTTGAATACTAAATAAATGCAGTTCCATACGTTTGGATGTTGTACAAAGAACAAATTAACGACAACAACTCAATTCCTTTAACAGTGTCTGACATGATTGTTGTGAAATATGTCACTTTAAGTGTGCAGAACAATCCTTTCAGAGTCTTTGATGTTCAGCGAATATTCCCTGTGTAATAGTGCAGCAAAGTCAGACAGATAACGGCTGTAAAAGTTTGAAATTTGCCAAGCGCGTATGACATTTCTCCTTGACAAGGACCCCAGACAGTGAGTGGAAAGGTGGGGGACAGCGAGGAGGGGGAAATGCGTCAGTGTTCGTGAGCTCAGCTTGAAGTCAGGCGGCCAGATGGACCGAGGAACAAACAGAACATCATGATTGAGATAATGTTTGCTTTGATGATACATCATGTTATGAATCATTGACATTGTCCCATGCTAACAGGAGGGCTATTACTCAATGTTAGACGTGACATACCGGTACTTTTTTTTATTTATCTATTTTCTTCCACTAACCCCTTTTTCCTAGCTTTCAACCATATCACACATCAGATCTCATCAGCTGCTTCAGTTTGCTTGTGCTGTATAAATGTAGGTGTCCTGACTCCCTACTGTGTTGAAACAGCAGGGATGTAAACAAACAGTGGTCCTGAAAAAAGAAGTGTTCAAGTGGCGTCTGGGAAAAACACCAACATTAGACTTGTTAAACTTTTACGGTAACACAATGG